TAGCAGTATGGAATAAGAATAAGAAACGGCCGGCTTCATGCCTCGGCTACAGCCTCTGGAGAAGTGGGCCGGCATGCAGCAAGCGTGCCGAGGCTACTCGACCCATCTATTGGAGCGGCATTGGACTCTTCATCAATTATGCTATTTGTAGGTGATGCACCCGACATAGAAAAAGAAGGAAATTAAGCATCTTTGACTGTGGCCCTGTCTCTTTGTATGAGAGAGGCACGGAGCTGATCGGTGGGGACTGCGTGCAGTAGATCAAACGCAGGAAAGAAGACAGAGAGCATCACCCTCTCCCACCTGGGCTGAGGTTTTCGTCAGATGTAAGTTACTCACCGCAGCCACTCACCGTACATGTTGCATTCTAAGACAGGATTGCCAAGCCAGCATCGGAACGGGGCTGACTTGCTATGTTATAAGCTGACCCAGTCCACAGCTGAAACACATTGCCTGGGTAATGTCTCAAGAAAAAAATAATTTGTAGATTGGTCATGATTATAGGTACGTTTGTTGGATCCACCTGTGCACTAGGCACCGATCGCGCACGTATAACTAATCGACCGCGCTAGTCACGTGCGAGTAAGAGGTGAGACACAGGGAGGAAGGTCTTTGCACACAGTTTGTATGGGACACGTTTCCCTAGTTACACAAGATATAACCAATTGAACCAGTTCGAATAACCTCACTGCAGTGAAGAGCCTGTCCACACTGATCAGTGTCGCCCGGCAAAGGTGACACAGAACAGCAAGACGGAAGAGAGCTAACCTATCGTCACGCTCTGCAAAGCGAGCTCCTGACGGTAGGATAGTTGCTACAACGCGCGGATTGCTACGAAGACTCTGCATCAGAGCCCACTCTAGTTATCCAACCGTGCCTAAGCTTTGCTGTCATCAGCGACCCTTAGGCGTGCCCTATCGCACATTGATAACCTCATTGACACCCTGTGCCCTGTTTCTCAGCACACAGCCTGTCAATATGTCTGACAATTCATCTGCCGCACTAGCCCCGGCAACAGCCCAGGATACCCCGGCCAACGTGTCTCTCGAAGACAGGCAACTCGTTGAACGGAACCTGACGATCGTGGAGCTCCTTCACTCCCGATCAGGCATTTCGACGCGGATTTCCTCAACGAACCTATCACCCAGAGCTCCTCCTTGTCCACCGCAACAGCTTCTTCTTAGGCTGTGTGGCAACATACACGGTGGATAAACGTAACCACGGAATTGCCCTGCTTGGGGATCTGTATAACGACTTCACGGGATGGAGCTATGATGACTTCGAACTAATCAACCCACGCCTTAGATCAAGACTCCGGACGCTTCTCAGAATTAGGGGGATCTATATGGGCAAGGCCAACTCTAGCATCTCTCGAGCTTTATGTGGCCTTCTAACAAGTAACGAACTTCCTGAATGGGATGAGAACGAGTTGCTTGGTCAAGAGGTTGCTGAAAACACCGTGGCATATAAGGTGAAACAGAAGCTGCTCCAAGGAACTGTTAAAGCGGCTATATCGTCACCGGCACCGGTAGTAATCCAGCAGCCAACTATTACCCGACCGGCGGAACCGGAATCCTCAGATCATTGAGACCCATCAACCCGCTCAGCAAGAGCCTCAGCATCAATGGCGCGAATCCCTCGGTATCAGCAGACGCTCCCCGTACGGACTACCAACTTCCGAGATGCATACACGAGCATTCCACCTGTTCGATTCGAGAACGAGGAAGTTGAGGCCGATCTCACGATTAGATTCATTAAGATATGGGACAAGAAACTAGCCTATACCGGCGAACCATACGATATCTTCGATGACAAGATCCGGAAATTCATGAGCGTGTGCCGTCAAGCAAACATTCCTCCGTCTAAATTCCATGGTGTTTTCCTTCGATTCTGGCCAGGAAGCTCAGTCCTTCTTTCTACACGAAATCAGCACTGATTTAACCTTCGCTGAGATGTATCAGAAGATGAAAGAGCACTTTGACACCGAAATCAACCAGAAGATGTATCATACCCACTGGAGCACCTCACCTTCAGCCGACTTCGGGCTGAGATGCCCGGTAAGTCATCTGACGAGGTCCTCCAGGCCCTTCTTACGAAATTGCGGCTCTGTAGGAGAGCACTCGGGGATAAGTCTGGCGGCGAAGGTGGCCTGATCGATGCAACGCTCAGGGCGTGCCGTGGTGTGCCTGAATTCCGACTCGCGATATACTCTCCCGCACCTACATTTGAGGGATTGGCATCACAGCTTCGATCATCGCTATCTGCCATGCAAGATGAACGATCTGAACAACCCAGTGGCCAATATCCCCAAGACCTGGATAGAGGACATGATCAGCACTTCGTGGATCGCAAATTTCAGCGAAATTCCGGCGGAACAAGAGGTCAATCACAAAGGCGTCAGCCAAATTGGAAGAAGAAATGCTACGTTTGCGGCAAGGAAGGTTGTTTCTCAACGAGACATCCTGAAAACGAGAAAAGCAGCCAAAGAGAAGTATCTACGAGAGAGGCTTCCACGGTCAATCTCGTTCGTATGCTATGTTCTTGGCTGACTATGAAGGGAATCACAGGATCAGGATGACTCGAGAACCGAGGAATCCGATGATTCTGACTCTCTGACCCTTATGAATCGTTCTACGCTGCTGCGACCTTCTGTCCAACGAAGCTTTCCATCATCGGATCTCTCCAGTAGGCATCAAGTTATTCAACAGTGACGAACCCACACAATTCATACTAGATCGTTACTCTCAAGACTCGTTCCAAGGAATCATGCCGGACACAGGTGCGGCATGCATATCGACGGGAGGAATCGAACAACTGCGTGCTCTCCAACGAGAGATGCCCCCAGTCCAATTCCGTGATGATCGCAAGCCCGAACCAGTTAGATTTGGTGCAGGAAGATTGGAAACACCACTTGGCGTGATCACCTTGAACACACCAGTGGGAGAGGTTGATTTTCATATAGTCAACGTGCCAACGCCATTCCTCCTATGCCTAGCTGATATGGATCGGCTCGGCGTATATTTAAATAACGTCACGAACGAGCTCGTTGGCAATGGTGTGAGCGTTCCAGTGATTCGAAGATGGGGTCACGCGTGGTTCTTCTTGCGGAAACAAGAGGCATCAGTGGCATATCTCACGGAGGCTGAATTGCGGCGCCTCCACACGCGTTTTGGTCATCCATCCGTGTATCGGCTGCACAAGCTGCTGAATTCGGCTGGCCATGATGTGAAAATCGAAGCTCTGAAAATGATAAAGAAGTTCTGCCACTACTGTCAGATAAAACCCGACCCGCCACGAAGGTTCAAGTTCAGCTTGAAGGATGATTGTGACTTCAATTACGAAGTCATCGTTGATGTCATGACATTGGGTGGCAGACCAGTCCTCCATGTTGTTGATCAAGCCACTGCCTATCAGGCAGGGAGATTCCTATCAACATGACGGCCAAGGAAACGTGGCTCGCGTTGAAACAATGTTGGATGGATACATACCTTGGACCACCCGATGTGATCACTCATGACGCAGGCACGAATTTCGCTGCTGCCGAGTTCCAAGCAGAAGCGAAATTGATGGGAATAACGTGTCATCAGGTGCCTGTGGAAGCACATTGGGCTGTTGGGAAGGTTGAGAAGTATCATGTGCCCGTCCGAAGAGCATATGATATATTAAAGGCAGAGCTGAAGGATACCGTGAGCCCTGATCAAGTCCTTCAAATGGCTTTCAAGGCTGTCAACGACACAGCCGGTCCGGATGGCCTCGTTCCAACCCTCCTCGTCTTCGGTGCTCTGCCTCGAATGACGATGGATTCGCCGCCTACACCTTCCGCAATGGCAAGAGCTAAGGCGGTGTGGCGAACGATGTCAGAGCTGAGGAAGATCAACGCCCAGAGGAAGGTTCAGACCGCGTTAAATACGCGTAATGGGCCTGATACAGCGTTGCGCCTGCCCCTATCCCTGGCGCTAGGAAGCGAAGTTCGCGTATTTCGCGAGAAGCACGGATGGCAAGGCCCATATAAAGTGCTCGAGGTGACGGATACGGAAATCGCAGTTGACCTGGACAACGGACCAGCGAAATTTCGCAGTACATGCGTCCAACCGTACTATCGTCACCCGGAATCGCTCCTTCCTCAGTTGCAACCCGACCCTAGCCCTAGCCGCACAGACCCATCAACACAACAATCACTCCTTCCCTCAACACAATCCGATCAACAACATCCTCTTCAAAACCCTCTTCCTTCCACCCACAACTCAACAACCTCTTCCTCTTCCTACCACAGAAGACCAACCCAAACCTTTCGAATACCCTGAGCCAAAGAGGCCGCGCAGGCGTGGCCGACCTAGGAAGGATGCTGCACAAAATGGCACATCAGAATCCACTATTGTTTGCTCACCCGTTCAATTTATCGTTCATCATGAAGCTAATGCGTTTCTTGTTCGAAAAGAAATGGAACATCTCGGCCTAGCCAAGCGGCTACGAGCTGAAGGAAAGATCACAAGCACCGGTTTCCCATTTGAAGCTTCCGACACACTCGAGCTCACGAACCTCCTCGCCGCTGGGGTCATTGTACCCGAAGAATTCGATGCGAATAAACATGGTGGATATCGTGTCTTCAAATCACGAATGGTCAGAGAGGTTAAGGGAAGAAATACTGCAACGCCATACGAGAAATCACGCCTCGTTGTGCAAGGATACAATGATGATGGGAAACGTGGGATCCTCACACAAGCCCCTACCATCAGCCGGCCCGCACAACGCGTGGCCTTGGCCTTAGCACCGTTTCTCTGCACACGGGATATGTTCATCATGATCAGAGACATCACGATGGCATACACACAATCCCAGACCAAGCTGGCCCGTGTCATCCTTGCAGCCCTTCCTCAAGAACTCAAAAGAAGATATCCAGAGGAACAATCCTGCGAATCGTGAAGCCGCTATATGGCATCGCAGAGGCAGGAGCCCACTGGTTCAACACATATCACGACCATCACTGCCGCAAGCTTAATATGGAAACCTCTTCGTTTGACCCGTGCCTTCTGATCACGGCAAACAACATCGCCGACAAGGACCTGTTTGGCATCGCGGCCTTGCAAACGGATGACACATTCATTGTTGGCACAGATGCATTTCTCAAGATCGAGGAGAAAGAACTCTGCTTTAAGGCCAAGCCAAAAGAGATTCTCCAAGAAGGTTCCATCTGCGACTTTAACGGCAGCCGCCTGACCATACAAAATGGCTGTGTCATCGTCAGGCAGAAGGGCCAAGCCCAAAACCTCGAGGAGATCAATCTTCAGGCATCAAGTAGGCATCAGGATTATGCTGCTCAACGCGCCTGGGGCATATATCGCTTCGATTTGCCAACCCGAAGCAACATACGATTGTTCCGTTGCGGCACAAGCCCAAGAGCCCGTTAATACCGACTTCAAGGCTTTGAACAAGCGGATTGAATGGCAGATCAACAATCCCGACCGTGGCCTATGTTACATACCCATCGATCTCGAGCGCGAAGATCTTTGTGTTCACCGATGGATCATTCGCCAACAATAAGGATTTAAGCTCTCAAATCGGCTTTGTGATTATCATCGCCAATGAGACCGCGCAATCAACCGATTCATTTTCCATCCGCGGAAACATTCTTCATTGGAGCTCAACTAAATGCAAGCGCGTTACTCGAAGCGTTCTTGCATCAGAGATCTATGGATTGACATCGGGCTTCGATCTCGCATTTGTGATCAAGCAAACGGTCAATACGATCGCACAACGCCTTGATCTGAAGCAAATCCGCTCGTCATTTGCACAGATTCATATAGCCTCTATGAGTGCCTCGTCAAACTTGGCACCACAACAGAGAAGCGACTCATGATAGATATCATGGCGCTGAGGCAGGCATATGAATCAAGGGATATTGCGGAAATCCGTTGGGTCAACGGCGCAGATAACCCTGCCGATGCTATGACGAAGGCATCACCAAACAGCGCCCTCACGCAGTTTATTAGCGACAATCAGCTAAACGTGAGGTGGAAGGATTCGTTCATCGCAATAACACAACAATTCTCGACGAGATTTAATCGGTTTTTTTCGTTCCCTTCTTCTGCTTTACCGTCGTTCTTTTATTCCATTCACATTAACGAGGAGATCCTCGTGTCCATATTCCAACGTGGGACCGATGGAATCAGCTAGCGCATCCGGCGCTCGAAATGCGGCCCATGATGGCGTGTGGCAGAACACACCCAGTGTGGGGAGGAGAGCTACAGTCAGAGCACACTATCCAACATAGTGATGCATCGTGGTAGGAGTTTGTTGGTGTTCTTGTTCGTGTTTTTCCTATCTCATCTTAATTCGCTGTGTTTGGTGTGTTTTTGGTGGATTGATTAGTGCGCGATCATCGATTTAGAAAGAGGTTCCAGTGTTGGATCCACCTGTGCACTAGGCACCGATCGCGCACGTATAACTAATCGACCGCGCTAGTCACGTGCGAGTAAGAGGTGAGACACAGGGAGGAAGGTCTTTGCACACAGTTTGTATGGGACACGTTTCCCTAGTTACACAAGATATAACCAATTGAACCAGTTCGAATAACCTCACTGCAGTGAAGAGCCTGTCCACACTGACTCCTATTTTGCTGGTACAATAAGTATACGGGGGGCTAGGATATACATAAACCTCTTAATCTAGTTACGTCTACAGCTTGATGCGGTCAGACTTCTAAAAGTCCTAAGACGAGCGGAACAGCCAGAAGGGCCAAGGCAGCTGTGCCGAGGACCGTGCCAGTATCGCCGGTCAACGGAATGGCGCTCAACGGAACGGCCTGCCTAGGTGCAACGGTAACTTACGGCTGTCACCGGTTCACGTCTTGAGGTTAATGGGGAGCGTTCTCCCTGTCCTATGTATTTACTCCGTACTCCGTATCAAGTTGAAAGTAGAGGGTTTTTTGTGAGACATGATCAGCTGCGTGTGGCAGTGTCGCTCCCTGGTGAGACACGGCAAATCAACGCCGTACTCGGTAGCTATTCTGTTTCTGAACGATGCCAAGAGTGAAGCACATGTACCTTTTTGTAGCCATGTCCTGGGAATGGAAGCTGCGATGTCTATTCCCTTTCTCCTTAAATTGCACCTGATGCATTGATTCACTGTGCAGTCTTCACGGTTCCGTGTCTCTTTACATAGGGCTGCGGCAGATGTCCAATTCAGTTCACCTCTTATTCTCCAACCTTGACGTCCTTTGGCGTCGACGATTGCCTCTTATCCCTGACCGAGTAAGGCTACTGGTTACAATTTCAATGAGTACATCAGGGAAAGCCCACGATCATGGATCCCATAGTCATATCAACGGTTGCCTAAGCCAGCCCTCTCCTATAACAATCTGGGCCGCGGCACGATGGCGGCTGTTTGGATTTACATACAGCTACCTGTTGACTTTTATCTTGCCCATACTTTGGCTGTCTATCCCACACACAAAGCGGCCTTGGCTATATAAGACAAGATGGTTAGTGGCAGCAGCGGTGGTTATCATCAATGTCGGCAATGTATTCCACACATGGCATACTGATGTCATTTATTCCTACTTGGCCGGGACTATGGGTACATGGGGAACCATGATATGCATGAACCTCCTCATCTGGTCCCGACCGCAGTTTGACGCGGCCAGGGTCCTCAAGATTCCCAAGCGAAAGGGCCAGGGCAGCTGTACTGGGGACCGTGTTGGTGTCACCGATGAACAAAATGGAGTCAAGCGCAATGGTGTGGCAGTCGCCAGTCCACGTCTCGAACAAATTGGAGTGGATGCCGAATTTGATTACATCTGGCAACGGTTCCCTGTGGATGCGCCCTTCTTGGAGAGGTTCTGCTGGGCTGCAGATGCCGTGCTGAGCCCAAGAGGTGCAGGTAAGATGACTCCGCAGTCAAGATTTAGATATTTGATATTTGAGAAGGTAACTGACAGACTCTAGGCTGGAACTGGTCCATCTCCTCTATTCCGCGACCATACATCCCTCGGCATGCCCGGGACGGAGAACGGGTCGTCATGGAGGCCGTCCCACGAGTTACCAAGAGCGGCTTCCAGCGTTGTCTTTCCGAGACAGAGTTTGTGTATACCAGGTTCAACACTATTATACGCTCCTACATTGTCCTCGACCTCGTTTCGATTCTGATGGAACAAGATTTTTACTTCGCTGTTGGTCCTGGCGAGTCCCACCAACGACCGCTGCTCCCGCGATATCTTCAGGTCTTGCCGCGGTGGCTGCTTACCGGCTATCGAGTCAATCTGTCTCTGGTCGCTTGCCTAAGTCACATCTCATTTGAATATAGCATCATTGACCTGATGCAGCATTGGACTATGAGAACATTGTTTCCATCACGCAGTGGATTATGGATGCACGCATCGGCATTTGGGTCGTTTTCGCAGGTGCTCGATCGAGGCCTCGCCGGGTGGTGGGGAGATTACTGGCACCAGACGTTTCGTGTGCCCTTTCTCGCGCCGGCAACGTTCCTCATCAGGGAGGGCTACATAAAACCGGGCACCGCGGCGGCCGACGCTGTTGCCATATTCGTCAGCTTTTTCCAGTCTGGCCTGCTCCACGCCTCGGGCAGCTTGTCGTCGGTGGCCAACACCAAACCATGGCGGCCTCTGCTATTCTTCCTCATCCAGGCAGTGGGAATTATTGTAGAGCGTGCCGCAAACAAGTGGCTGCGGCAGCATCTGCCACCCCTGCCAAAGAGACTGCAAAGAGCCGCCAACTTGGGGTGTGCGCTGGCCTCGCTCTTTTTTGCGGGAATGCTCTACTTTAGCGATGTCGCCTCCGCGGGATTATGGACACCAAGACCGGTTCCCTTTTCCTTGTTTCGAGGTTTCGCGCCCGGTCTCCGCCGGTTCGGCTCTTCTGAGGATACTTAGTGGCGGTGGGAACGCCCAACCGAAAATGCGGTATAAGGCCAGCCCACCAGCAGTTCTCTCGATTTTCGTTCAGAAAATCTCGGCGCATCGCCTTTAGTCGATACTGTGTAGAGTACATAAGATAGACAGATACTCGCGGATGGGCATCAGCCTCAACCTAATAGCCCAACACGTCACTGCTATAAGTCAGCCTACCTAAAGTCCGGCACACCCTATCACCGGCACGCACTCTCGTTAAATACATTATATTGCAACCGCGTTTTCTCGTGTATCTCTTGCCTTATAATTATAAAATAAATAGTCTTTATATTAGCAATGCCTTAGCTTTCTAAATATACTAAAAACTATATTTAAGAAGCTCTTAAAGCTATTAAAAATAAGATACCTAAGCTCTATACTAGCTTACCTTTAAGATTACTTTTATCTTAAAGATAAAAATTACTAGTAGAAGTACTATAGTACCTAGGCTACTTAAAGGGATACCCCGCTATACCCCTTTTTATAAGGAAGGTTATATATATAACTTAAAACTATTGGTTATATAACTCTATTAATTATAAGTTCGACTCCTTTTAGGGCAAAAGAGTAGGTTATATAATTATACTTTAAGGGGGGCGCGGTTAACGAACTTAGGGGCCTAAGGAGATAGGATATAAGGAAGGGGGTTCTCCTTATATCCTATCCTCTTAGGTCCTAGCTTTTATCTTTTATATACTATTCTTTTTACCTAGCCCTATAGTAGCTATATCCCTTATAAAAGGGGTTAATAGTAATAGCCTTTAACTATTAGTTAAGCGGTAAGAGTAGGTTATATAACCCTAATTAACTAATATTTAAACCTTCCTTAAGTAAGAGGGGGGGGCTAGTATAATATACTTATAAAGTATAGAGTACTAGCTACCGAATAATCTTCCCTTTTCCTATATTTACCTTATTTTTATAAGAAACTATTAAGAGCCTCCCCTTCCTTTAAGATAACCTCCTTAAATAGATAAAATAGCTAAATTTAATATCGGAATAGCCTTATATTTATTAGACTAAACGCCCCTTTACCTATTACCCTACTATCTAGAAGCTAGGGTAATAATAGGGTATATTAAGGAGAGCAAGTATTAGAGGCTATAGTTAAACCTAGTAGACCTAATAGTTATATATAAGGAAGCCTGCCTAACTAATATAACTCCCCTAGCCTAAGGATATTATATAGGCCTAACTTAGGTATAGGAATATCTTAATGCCGTCTTTTAGCTGGCTATATATAGTTACTGTACCTATATAAGCCCCTTTCTTATCTTAATAGATAGACTAAGATATATATTACTAAATTTACCTTTCTATGCCCCTATTTCTTCTACTATGCTCTTAAGCCTCTACTTAAGAGATATTTAGTCTTAGGTAAATACTAAGTAGTAATACTCTATTATAACGCATTTAGTCTTAATAAAGCACTGCCTAGGTAATCCCTTAAGGCCTCGATGCAACAACCGAATCCCATTAATACTTCGCTACGGATTCACCACGGTCCCTCTGATAATGAGTATTGAATCCCGCACGCCACATCTAGGCTGATATAAAGGCTGCAGCGAGGGCAATCCAGGCCAGCAGCCGGTGACATCCAATCAATGTCCATCATGACGTCTCGCCACACTTCTAGACTTGAATGTCCCGATTAGTATCCGCGGCGTTGGTGGTTGGCTCGTCACGAAGGCGAAAGGTCGTATGGGCCGGGTCCGACGGTTCTGTCTGGTCAATGTCGGCAACGCGGCCGTGATCCTTGAGGCAAGGTGGCTGGTCATCGCCATGATTGTTTTGGGGATTGTAGTCGCTGTCCTTTTGAAGCCGCAGGACGAGCGACTCGTGCAAGACTGCGTTGAGGGGGATGTCACGCGTGCCGCCCTTGTTCAAGGGGAAGTGCGTGTTCCTCCACCGGTTGCCGTGAAGCTCCCAGCGGGTGACGAGGGGACACCATTCTGGCCGGGTCAGCATTGACGTCTCTCTCTGCTCGGGGGGGGAGGGACATGGCGGATGCCTACCCAGAACCCACCACAGCAGCACCTGGAAGAAGGCGGTGCCGTAGCCGAACCGCAGCGAGTCGTGCATGAAGCCGCCGAGTGCCTGGTCCTTGCGTTTGTCGAACCGGCGCTTGAAGCCGTCGAGGTTCGGGGACCACTTGATGGCCGCTGGCGGGTACTGCTGGCCGACGAGCTCGACCTCGTGGATCATCCAGGCCAGCGGAATGTCGCTCATTTGGAAGCGGTCGGCGGCCACGTCCCTGGAGGGCGCGGCGGCCCTGCGCGTGGTGCACAGGTTCTTGACGCGCTGCCATAGCGACATAGGCCGGCCCGAGTCGAGCGGCTCGTCGGCCACGGCGGGCCATCCGCCGCCGACGTCGCCATGGGAGCCGGCAAACCAGACCTCCTGGATGTCGTCGGCGCTGTTGCTGCGTATGTCCTGGGCCAACAGAGCCGGCCGGAACTTGACGCGGCGCTCGTCGACGGCCACGGCGTGCCGCACAATGTGCGCCGTGCCGCTCACCGGCACGGGGAAGGGCGCCTTGCGCTCTAGGACGGCCACGGAGCTGACGCAGTCCCAGAGGCCGAGGAAGTAGACCTTGATGTTTTCCTCGGCCTTGTCGTCGCGGACGACGTGCTCCTTGCGACAAAAGGTGCTGCTGAAGGCCGTCACCTCGTCGCGCGCCGCCGTGTCGTCGTCGCCAGTGTCGCCCGTGTCGTTCCCGGGTTGCGTAGCCTCAATGCGCTTGATCTTGCCCGAGAGGTAGCGCTGGTAGAGCCGGTAGACAAAAGGCACCATCTCCTCATTGCCCTTGCAGAGCAGCCCGACGGTGTTGACCATGCGCGCCAGGAACCTGGCCGTAAAGGCCCCCCGGCTGAAGCCAAACATGTAGATCATGTCGCCCTTTGCCTCTCGTCAGCAAGCAGTGAGAGAGAGGGAGAGAGAGCCTCGACGCCGGCCGTTGCTCACCGAGTCATAGAAGCGCATCAGGAAGCGGTAGCCGGCCATGACGTGCGCGTCGAACGTGGTGCCCAGGCCTTGGTCGATGAGCTGCGATATAGAGCTCCGGAGCTCGCCAAGCCACGGCTGGTTCACCGAGCGCGCGTTGATGTCGTACGTGCCGATGCCGGCTAACAGCCATGCTAAGCCATGATGAAGCCGTCCAAGTTCAAAGCCAGTCACTCACTCTGGTAGTAGTGCTGTTGATTCGGGTGGCTGCAGTCCAGGTTGTTCAGCAGCTTTACGACATTGGTGTCTGCATTGGATCCGCTGAAGGTGTTGCCGGTGCCGTCAAAGCACAGGACGAGCTTCGTGGGCTCCCGCGTCTCGACAGGGCCATGCAGGGTGGCCATGCTGCTCTCCGGGCGCCCGAGGCTGGGGACGTCGGGCATCTTGCTGGTGGAAAGGACAAAACGGCGATGGGGACAAGTACAGCGCCGGAGATGCTTTGCTCGCTCGAGATGCCACTTGCAGTGTAAGTACATTCCACGAGTCGGATGCCTCATATATCGGTGCACCGACGCAACATTCTGCATCGTCATCATGGCCAAGGCGCCCACCTCATCGACAAATGGCCTCGGCCCAGGGGTCAAATGTGCTGACGTTGGATCTCGAAGTCTAGATCGACAGCCACGAATCTCAGCCCGGCGATGCGCAAACCACACACGGCCTGCATAGCACTGCCGACGTTGAGGCCAAGCCGTGCCCAGGCCACCGAGGGAAACGCAGCCAACAGCGTGACGCCTGGGAGACGCGACTGATGCCATTGCCGCAAGGCAACACAAGGCGTACCAGCAGGGGCAAGACAACCAGCCAGTTGCCTTCCGTGTTCGTCCAGTTCATGGTCCGTTTTGCTCAGCCACCACAATGCGGCAGGTATACACTATACAGTAAGATGCGATTTGCCTCCAACATGGCGTCCCCTGGTCAGGCCCCATGAGATAGGACATGATTGACTCACCGAGATGGACCGAGGCCACCAATAGCGCCCTTTTGTTGCCGCCATGTATGGGTGCCATCTGTCTTTCCTCATCCGCCGAGGGGCTCTTTCACCTTCCCCCGTATATGCACTCTCCTTATAGCCTATGCGGCTGCCTAGCGCGGTCTCCTAATAGCCTTCTGCAGCCTCAGAACTCCCTGCAGGCTGCCTTTCTGCCTAGCCCGGCGGGGCCCTTTTCCGATTACAACTTCCAGGTTTATACGGGTACGGCACGTAAAACGAGCTGAGCGGTAGACAGAGCCAAATCACAAAGCCGAAGGGCGTTACCACTGACTGCTTGGGGGGCGTTCTGCATCCCGACGGTCCGGTTGGTCGTCACCCCAAGTTCACAACTCAGTCTAGAACGGCCTAATTGCCTGCCGTTCGCAAGGCCGCCTAATACCACAGCCAGGGACACGCACGGTCGAATAGGTGCAAACAGTAGCCTACTCTAGACTTTTCCCTTGAGAAGCAAACTCTTGAGGAGCAACTTTGATATATGAGCCTACATCCGCTGGGAATGACAGAAACTTATTCTCTCTGTCCCCGCCTGAGCTGCACAATTCTGGTTGACTTCCTCCATCGGCCCCCAATCTGACTTGTACAGTTGAGAGAGAACAGAAATACGATCCCAGTCGAGGATATCGTCATGGCCTCCACGCAGTCTCCCTCGGGCCTGGCACGGGGCTCCTTGATCAATATCCTGACACGCATCAAAGACGACGTCAACAGCCAAAGCCTAAGAGTCGGGCCAAACCTCGATTTCCTTCACGAACTAGGCCAAACATTCCTCGACAGCGGTCTGGTCAATGACCGGACGTATTTGGTACGTATTCCTCTTCTTTCCTTCCCTAGCCACCTACTCACAACATCTTGTCCAGTACGAGAATATCATCCGCCTTGCAGCCACCCTTCCTAACGGGTCCGAATTGCGAGATCGTCTCTTAGGTCAATTCATTAAGACGCTTTGGACAAATCTTGAGTACCCTCCTATTTCTTGCTTGGGCGACCAGTTCAAGTACAAGACGGCGGATGGCTCCAACAATGTGACTGGGCCCATTTCCTTTCCCTCGAGACAGTCGCTCATCTCTCTCCGCAGAACTTTATGTATCCTCGGCTGGGCGCAAGCAATAGCCATTACGCACGAAGCGTCGTATCATAGCATACGCACACCCGGGCTCTGCCGGATCCTGGTTTGGTATTCGATACCATCCTAGCCCGTCAAGGTGCAAGTCGTCTACACCCGAGCAAAGTATCATCGACACTTTTCTACTTCGCCACCATTATTACTCATGATATTTTCCGAACCTCCGACCTCGATTCGTCTGTAGCCAAGTCGTCCTCATACCTAGACTTGGGGCCTCTGTATGGACACAGTTAGAAGGAGCAAGATCGAGTCCGAGCATTCAAAGATGGACTGCTTAAGAATGATGTCTTTTCCGAGTCCAGGATCCTGATGCAACCACCTGGAGTCGGCGCATTGCTTGTGTCTTTTAATCGATTCCATAACTGGGTAGCCCGAGAGCTTGCTGTGATTAACGAGAATGGAAAATTCAGCCTGCCACTCGGGCTGAACGAGGGTGACAGTGAGTACGAAGCTGCTATCAAGGACAGAGACAATAATCTCTTCTAGACAGCAAGATTGGTAACCTGTGGTCTCTATGTAAACATTATCCTTAACGACTACCTTCGAACCATACTGAACCTCAATGATAATGCGGTTCGCTCCGACTGGAGGCTCGACCCTCGCGATGCCTTTTATAGCGTATTCGACCCCGAGGGTACCCCTTGCGGTATTGGTAACCAGGTTTCGATTGAGTTTAACTTTGTCTACCGTTGGCACGCAGCAGTTTCGGATCACGATGAGGCGTGGCTGCAAAGTCTGATGACCAAGATACTTGGCGCTCACGTGGATCCTTCCGCTCTCAGTCCTGCCGAATACCTGGGGCAGCTCAAAACTTGGTTTTATGATAATGTCCCCGATGACCCGGCAGCCTGGACGTTTGGTGACTTAAAAAGAAACAAAGACGGTGGATTCAATGACGAAGATCTTGTTCAGCAAATCAAGAAGGGAACTGACACGGTAGCCGGCGCATTTGGCGCTAAGAACATTCCCGTGGCGTTGAGGGCGATTGAGATTATTGGCATTGAACGAGGTCGAGAATGGGGCGTCGCCACGTTCAACGAGTTTCGAAAATTCTTCAAGCTCAAGCCATTCACATCCTTCAAGGAAATCAACTCTACCGAAGATGGAGTAGCTGAAGCTTGTGAGTTTTCGGTCTCTGCAAGATTCGTCACGTAGTGGATGGAGATTGGAGACTGACATGGCTTTAGTGGAGGCACTCTACGGCCATCCCGGTAACGTCGAGCTGTATCCGGGTCTGATGGTAGAGCAAGCCAAGAAGGAGTTTTCGCCCGGCTCCGGGCTCTGTCCCGGCTTCACCATCTCCGAAGCCATTCTCTCAGATGCAGTGACCCTCGTCCGCGCCGATCGCTTCTACGCGCACGAGTATGGTCCACAGAGCCTGACCAACTTCGGCTTCACCGCTGCCAGTTCTGATTTTGACGTTGCCGGCGGCGGCGTCATGTACAAGCTGCTCATGAGGTCGTTCCCGGGATGGTACCGACACAGCAGCGTGTACGCTCTATATCCCTTCACCACACCAGAGAAGACCATGGGCAATTTCAGTTCAGGAGCAGCGCCGGTCCAAGCTATCGATTATAGCGCTCCTGCCTTCACTGGCCCCCCGATTCCGGTGACTTCATGGCAAGGTGTAGTGCAGCTACTGCAAGACCAGACTAATTTCAAAGTCCCTCGTGAGTTTCTCCGATTGACCTTTGCTGCACTAGTTGAAGCTAACAGTACAATCCAAGAGCAACTCTCTGGTCATGATGACATGCTGAGTGGCGACAAGCCCGCCAACACAGCTAAGCAAAAGTTCATGCAGGATGAGCTGTATTGCCCTGAGGAAAATTTGTCTATAGTTCGCGCCTTCTACGAGAGTTTGACGGCCCGGCTTATCAAGAAGAACGCTCGCAAGCTGGGGGGATCTTACCAGATTGACATTGTCCAAGAGGGAGTAGCTTTCTGTGTCCTGGTTGAATCCATCCACTAAACCTAGCAAAGCATTGGTAATCCAGCCCACGCCGAGTTTGTCGGTCGCTTTTTTGGCATTCCCCTGCGAGGCGAGGACTCTGAATCGACAGCGGTGACTGACTCCTACACGCCTCGCGCACTCTACAACGTCTTGGCTCACCTTTTTGAGCATGTCTTCCTGGATCTCGACGAAGCAAAACGTTACAAACACCTTGTCGTCGCAAGTAAAGAGACATGGCAGCTTGGAGACATTGTTCGTGGAGTAGTCCGAGGGATCAAGCCAGGCGAGGGTGCACGTAGCCTGATGCAACTCGTCGAAGACACTTTCTTCCACAAGACTGCTACCGGTGCAGAAAATGCCCATGGCCTCCAGCATTTTGGCCTAGAGCTCATCAAGAGACCGATGGAACAAGGTCAGGGGAAGGACGTGGAAGAAGTTGTGTGGACTCTGATTCCCACAGCTGCTACCTTTTGTGCTACTCAGGCTCAGGCTGTGAGTGCTCGACTTTTCCCGCTTCTCCACTCCATTCTCAAAACTGCACCGCTGACGCGTCATTTTCGATACAGTGGGCTCAATTAATCGAAATATACCTTTCGGATGGCTACAAGAGCCACTGGACGGAGATTGAGCAGCTCGCCCAGTCCGAGGACTCTGATTCGTTTGACCTACTGAAGCGTTACGCTCTAGAAGGGTCAGTCACTTGCCTGCGTCGAGTTCCCGTATTTCGTACTAATTTGTGACCCCAACAGTTTTCGTCTATTCCCAGCAACTTCAGGAGTCATTCGTGTGGTAGAGTCTCCAACGCCTGTGACCATTCCTTCAGCGCCGACTCCTTTGCCGCCCAAAGGAACAGTCTTGGCGGATTTCATCACCGCTGGCCGGGATCCTTCCATTTTTCCTGACCCAGAATCCATCAAACTTGACTGACCTGATGATTCGTACATTCATCTTGGCTGGGGACCTCACTCTTGCCTCGGGCGACCCATTGTCGAGACTGCTGCGGCTGCCATGCTGCGCCAGCTTGCCCTCCTCTGTCCCAATCTGAGGCGAACGCCTGGCGATGCAGGTGAAATGAAGAGAAAGCTGTTTGATGAGGCGTTCCCGGTTTTCCTTTCTCAGGACGGTGGTGATTGGGAAAGCTTCCCTGTCGGTGAGTGACTGTCGAAATTCCGTGTCGCCAATAGACAATACTGACAATCTCGAAGCTAAGAAGGTTCTCTTTAACGAAATGTAACAAGGATTATCAGCCTCCTGCAGACTGATTCCCCTGACATACACAGTCAGATCCTGACTCAGGCTGTGGTTCTGGCCCGCCATCACCGTGATAGCCACAGAACCCCTCTAGCTAGCATCATCATAACCATGACGATTAGGCAGTCGTTTGTTCAGGTACTTCCATCAGCTTCTAGCCACTCATTCGTAACGCCTATTAGACTTCAAAATACCCATGGGTATTTGCTTGTGGGCTACCTATACCTACCCACGGGCTATTTTAGGGCCACTATAAATACTTAGTAGGTAGGTAAATTTAAAATAGGTACCTAAAAGTATATATAGGTATATTCGGGCTACCTATAGGTATTACCTATTTAGTTTTATTATATTAATCGTTTATACTTATCCTAATACGAGGTACCTATAAAATATATATAGGCCGTATAGCTAAAAGTAGTATTAAATTAAAGGATAAGATCCTATAGGTATTATTTATCCTTTACCTTAACTATCCTTTTAATATTTAAAGTCCTATTATCGCGGTCGAATATTCTCCTTATATCTAGTTCTCTTTATAGAGGAGGCGACTATTGCCTCTATTACTATACGGCCTTTTTGCTTTTTCTTATAGCTTTAAACTTATTCTTCCTAATAAGAGTTACTTTCCTTTATCTCCTCTACTTCCTCTATCTCCTTTACTTCCTCTAACTCCTCTACTTCCTCCGACTCCTTATTACTTAGTAAAGTAATATTAATTATATCGCGATACTTATCTCTCTTTTACTAGCTTTATATTTATATTTAAAGAGAGTTTATAAAAAGCTTTTATTAAATAATACCTATAAGCTATAGGTAAGTATAAAATCTCTTACTTTAATCTTAATCTTTTTTATATAGTATTATAGCCTCTTTATTAAGATAAATTCTATTAAAAGGATTTATATTTCTAGGAGTATAAGATATCTTTAAAGCTACTTTAAGCTTATATAGCTAATCTTTATACTCCTTTATAGGGTTAATACTATTATTAATCTTTATATCTTAAAAAAAGATACTATTATATATATTAAATTAAAACTATAGGATCGATAGCGTAAATCTCGCCTTTAAGTTTAAGAGTTTTATCTTAGATTGCTAGTATATATTAATCTACTAGTAAATACTCTAAGCGCGCTTAAGCGGCACGCTACTTAGTTATATTACTAGAAATTCGCGTGCTATAATATAAATATTCTTATACCTTTTATACTAAGATATATAGCGCTAAAAGCTATATATATCCTTAGATAGTAACCTCCTTAGCTAAGATTAGTATATTACTTATATATTAATATAATTAAATAAAAACTTACTTTCTTTAAAAAAAGCCTTATAGCCCGAAATACCTTTATTACCTTATAAAGTCCCTTTATATATAATTAGTATAAATAATTACTATAAATTATTATACTATTTACCTTTATTAAACTAAGAAACTAAGTAAGCTAGTCCTTATAAGAGTTAAGAGTAATATTAGTATTAAAGGATTATACTAATAACTATAAGAATCGTTATTAATAGTAGGAAATAAATATATCTTTATAAGTCCTTTATACTTACTTAGAACTAAGTAGATTAGCTTTAGTCTCTTTCTTTAATAAAATAGGTAATCCTACCTAATAAATATTAAGCTTATTAATACTTAATAAGGGTATAAGTAAGGTAGTAATTATATATACTTCCTTTTCCTCTTAGAGGTAGTTAATATACTTAGTAAGCTTTTTCTCTATATTATTAATTACTATTATTAATATACTTTACTAGTTATTACTAGTATTATAAATAATAGTAATTTTAGTATAGGAGTAAAAGAGATACTTATAAATTATCTTTAGCGAGTTCTAAGATTCTAAGAGTATTATATCTTTCCCTTAGCTAATATTACTTATAAGCTATAGGAATATCTTCTTAATATTAATTAGGTAGTTAATTTACTCTTAATTCTTAGTAAATAAAGGTAAGCTAAGCTAGGTATTATTAGTAAGAAGTATATTAATTACCTATTATAGCTCCTTAGCTCTCTTAAGTATTATAATAGTAGAGTTCTAGTATATAATAATATAACTAGGAATACTTAATAGTTATTTATCTAGTTAGACCTCTTATTAAATATTAAAGAAAACCTTTATTTACTTTATACTTCGATAAAGTATTAATACTAGTATATAGATCTAAGAAGGTTAATATAAAGATTAGTATATAAGTTATAGTATTTTAATTAGTATTAACTTACCTTAATTATTATTCCTAAGATAACGTTACTTATACTTATAAGTAAGTTACTTAATATATTATTATTAATACTTACTTTATTATATACTAGTCCCTTAGTATAGGGCTAGTACTTTAACCTAGCCGTTTACTTAGATCTAGTATAGGTTTAATAGGTAACTAAATAGACTAGCTACTATATATAATTAAATATATTATATAGACTAGCTACCGTATATTATTATAAGCGTTTAATACGGACTAGCTACTAGTCTTATAAGTTAAAGTAAGAGTAGTAATAGCTATCTATATTCTTCTTTACCCGCTTAAGATCTAATAGGTTCTCTATCCTCTATATATACTATAGCGAGTATAAGACCTTACTTAGGGCTTAAACTAAGTAATATCTTAACCTTATAATCGTATAATAGTAGTATAGTATATTAGTAGTATTTCTTAGTATTTTCCCTAGGTAGGTGTTACGTACTAGTCCCTTAGTATAGGGCTAGTACGTTAACCTTACCGTTTACCCGGATCCGGTATAGGTCTAACGGGTAATTAAATAGACTAGCTACTATACGTAATTAAACGTATTATATAGACTAGCTACCGTACGTTATTATGCGCGTTAAATACGGACTAGCTACCGGTCTTACGAGTTAAAGTAAGAGTAGTAATAACTATCTATATTCTTCTCTACCCGCCTAAGATCTAGCGGGTTCTTTATCCTCTATATATACTATAGCGAGCGTAAGACCTTACTCGGGGCTTTAACTAAGTAATATCTTAACCTTATAATTATATAATAGTAGTGCGGTATATTAGCGGCATTTCCCGGTATTTTCCCTAGGTAAGTATAGGTATTTCTCTATAATTTCCCCGCTATATTCTCGTAGTAACTTCTTAGGGAAATATCGGTATAGTCCCTAAGGAACTATTATTACTCGGGAAATTATAGTGTATTCCCCGTGTAATATATCCCTAGGGGAAATCTCCGTAAAATGTCTATGTAATCCGCTTAGTTATCGTTTCCGGGAATTCCGGGTGATTTCCTAGAGTTTGCCCGGTAGCTTCCGGGTTCCTTCTTCCGCGGGGAGCTTTAGGGAGTTAGGGGTGACTTCCTTAGGGGAAGTAGATATCGTTCCGGGTACCTAGATTGTCGACTATAGGGTATCCCGTAATAGTAGGCATAGGTATATCTCTATAATTTCTCTACTATATTCTTATAGTAACTTTTTAAGGAAATATTAGTATAGTCCTTAAGGAGCTATTATTACTTAGGAAATTATAGTATATTCCCTATATTATATATTCTTAAGGGAAATCTCTATAAAATGTCTATATAATCCGCTTAGTTATTATTTCTAGGATTTCCGGGTGATTTATTAGAGTTTACTTAGTAGCTTTTAGGTTCCTTCTTTTATAGGGAGCTTTAAGGAGTTAAGGGTAACTTCCCTAAAGGAAGTAGATATCGTTATAAGTACCTAGATTATCGACTATAAGGTATCCTATAATATACTTCTTCCTTATTATAGTTATCTTATAGAGTTCTTATTAAATAAAAATAACTTTATATAACTAGTTTCTACTTTACCTTAATCTTAATAAGCTTTTTATAATCTAGTATCTTAGATATAAGAAGGTTAAGAATATATATAATATATTATATATAGTAAATCGTACTTAGTATATTAATCCTTAAATATAAGTTAAGTTTCCCTTATAAGTCTCTTAAATAAAGATATATATTATTATTAGTAGTAATACTTTTAAATCGATTTAAAATATAATGCTTTTATAGATATTATATAATTATACTATTCTATAATTCTCTAAAATAGCTAGCTAATATATTTATTAGGCTAAGTAAAAGAAGCTATAAGTACTAATTATAATCGATATAGTATCTAATAATTCTTAGGACTACTTCGATATTTTTAGTTTAAGTCTAGCTATCGATAGTTAGTAAGAGATACTATTTAAAAGGTATATATAGTTAATTAATACTTCTTAAAGATTATTAGCGATTATCTCTATTAAATTTATTAATATAAAGGCCGAGGGAATATAGAATTCTAGATAGTAAAAATAAACTAAGTCTTAAAAAGACTTATAGTTTATAATATTAACGGCTAAGTATATCTATAAAATAAAATTAATAAGATAACGTTAATATTATAACTTTTATTTTTAGGTGCCTTATAATAAGATTAGTATAATAGATTACTATATTTTTATATAATAAATATAAATATACTAAGGTATATTTCTTTTATACTTAGGTAGATTAAAATATATTCTTAGGTTACTATTTTTTAATATAAAACTTACCTTACTTATAGTATATAAGAGCGCTTATACTAGAACCGTTAATATAAGGATAGATTAGTATAGACTAGTAGGATATATAAATTACCTAAGGTTCCCTTATTTTATAGTTTATACCTTCCTTAAAAGGCTGC